TTCGAATCCCCGCGACGGGGTGAGCTCCCGTTGCTCGGTCCCTGCTCCTGCCAACCTAGCAGTTCGAAAGCACGTCAAAGTGCAAGTAGATAAATAGGTACTGCTCCGACGGGAAGGTAAACGGCGTTTCCGTGCGCTGCTCTGGTTCGCCGGAAGCGGCCTAGTCATGCTGGCCACATGACCTGGAAGCTGTACGCCGGCTCCCTCAGCCAATAAAGCGAGATGACCGCCACAACCCCCGAGTCGGTCACGACTGGACCTAATGGTCAGGGGTCCCTTTACCTTTACTAGCCATAGCAATGCTGGCACCCTAGTTCTCCAATGGGGTCCACTGGTGCTGATGCCTGTTCTGAGACCCTGCCTTACCAAGTGGCAGTGGTGGCCAGTTGGCAATGACACACATTTGCCCTAGAGCAACACCAGTCCTTTTTGTTGCCACGCTGCACTGGGATTGGCTGAGTGTGTTGTGTGAATGAGGCCAGAGGCCCATGACCTTGAGCAGGTGCACCTAGAAGTGCTTATAGTTTTGTACATCAGTGCCCAGTGCCAAGCCGTAAGTTCCTTTGGCATTAACATGAGACCCACGTGAAATACGTTCAAAGCCAAGGTGTCCACACCCTTTTCAAATTATACCCACCCCACCATCGTTTTTGCATTTGATCAGACATCCCAATTCATTTCTTAGAAACAGATAAATATTGTCTCGCTCCCTAGGCTTCCATTGCAGCCTGCAGAGAATTTAGTTCAGTCTCATGTGTATCAGCAACCTGATGGGAGTTTCAGAGGCTTCTGCGGCACTCTCCAGCTGTGATCCTATTTTACTAAAAAGAAGTGGGGGAGGAAGAGATTGGGCTCATCTTTACAGGGAAATTAACTTCTAATGGCAGCATGCTTTCCAATTACATCTTGCTTTCCTGTGAGAGCAGGTGATGACATGAGTTATTTCTGATGCTCAGTAAATTGTTAGCATGTTTGGCCTTCCCACCCAGATGCCTCAATCACGCATGGGTGGAACAATCTTCTGCAATTAATGCATATATTAACGATTGTTCACACTGCAAGTCCCATTGAACTGGCAGGACTTGTCTTTTGATGCGGATGGGATGCACAACCCCACAGGGCGGGGTGGAGACTCTAGTTGTGGGCAACCAGAGTTGGATCAGAGCTACAATCTGTAGTGAATGTGTGTTTGGATGTGACGCCATATTTCCAAACCACAGGTTTTTCAGGGATGGTGCTGCAGCTGTGGGATTCCTTCTGGCAATAGCATTATTTAGTTTCCTAAATCAACCACAACCACCACTGACCTAAGGTTCCTAAAAAATGTCAGGGCATTCACATAACTTAAATCCACATCCAGCATTCAAAAGACTATGGTTGATTCAATATAATAAATCTGACAACACTATAGTCCCACGACTCCTCCTTCTCCTTCTTAGGTACACCAAACTGTATGTCCAATGCTTTACTCTTCCCTTTTTAAGAACTGTGTAAGGTGCTTTTATAGGGACGTGGGTGGCTCTGTGGGTTAAACCACAGAGCCTAGGACTTGCTGATCAGAAGGTTGGCGGTTCGAATCCCTGCAACGGGGTGAGCTCCCGTTGCTCACTCCCTGCTCCTGCAAACCTAGCAGTTCAAAAGCATGTCAAAGTGCAAGTAGATAAATACCGTATTTTTCGCCCTATAGGACGCACATTTTCCCCTCCAAAAATGAAGGGAAAATGTGTGTGCATCCTATGGGGCGAATGCAGGCTTTCGCTGAAGCCTGGAGAGCGAGAGGCGTCGGTGCGCACCGACCCCTCTCGCTCTCCAGGCTTCAGGAAGCTATCCGCAAGCCTTGCAAGCCCGGGGGGAGTTCCTGCGGGCTCGCAAGGCTTGTGGATAGCAGCCTGTTCTGGGGGCTGGGGTCTTCCCGTGGCTGGGGGGGAAAATAACTTTTTTTAATTCATTCCCCCCCCAAAAAAACCAGGTGCGTCCTGTGGGCCAGTGCGTCCTATAGGGCGAAAAATACGGTAGGTACTGCTCCAGCGGGAAGGTAAACGGTGTTTCCGTGCGCTGCTCTGGTTCACCAGAAGCAGCTTAGTCATGCTGGCCACATGACCCGGAAGCTGTATGCCAGCTCCCTCAGCCAGTAAAGTGAGATGAGCGCCGCAACCCCAGAGTCGGCCACGACTGGACCTAATGGTCAGGGGTCCCTTTACCTTTAAGGTGCTTTTGCCGGTACCCTTTGATCTTTTCTGCATTTTTTTTTACTATATTTATTATTTCTGTATTATATAATTTCAAACAGTTCCTCTTTTATACATTGTTTTCAATTGCTGAATTTTTCTTAATTAATTAAAAAATTATAGGAAATGAAATGAAACGCCAGGGCAGAATAAGGTGGTGGGCAGATTCAGTGTGGTATAGTGGTTAGAGTTTCAGACTCTTGACTAGGGAGACCCAGGTTCAGATCCTAACTCAGCCACGAAGGTCATGGAGTGAATTTTGCCCATCTCTCTCTCTCTCTCTCTCTCTGCCTCGCCTCCTTCACAGGGTGGTTGTGAATTGGAGGGACAGAGAACTATGTACAGTATGCTGCCATGGGACATCTATAACATAGAAAAAAATGTTCCAAGCTTCTATGCGTAGAAGTAATAGTAGTAAAAAAATATATTTAAAAAATGAAAGGGAGTTGTCACAAACCAACAAACAAAGAAGCTAAGATGATGTCCTCAGAATCATGGATTCTCCACACGCAAGGAGGGTCTCTCAGTTTGCTCTCTCTGCCGGCTTTCAGGCCTCCATAGCAGGAGTGGGGAACCCTTTTCAGGAAAGGGCGACATTCACTTCTCATCAACCATCCAGGAGCCATTGGTAGGCAGGACCAGAGGCAAAAGTGGGAAGAGCAACAAATGCTACTTTAACAGGTGGCTCATTTCTTCACATTTACACATCCTCCTTTATCTTCCATCCAGGCCAGCATTATCAGAGGTCAAGGACACATTCTAGCCAGGCAGAAACACTCAAGGAAGGTGTGAAGCAAGGCTGGTGAGCAGGGCCAGATTTAGGTTTGATGGGGCCCTAAGCTACTGAAGGTAATGGGGCCCTTGATATGTCCAGCTGCCCTTTGAAAACAACAAATTGTCGCTGTTCTTTGTGTTGAATATATGCTATATGGTAATTTATGGACCTAATAGGTATCTAAAGCCATTTGCACATAACAAAATATGTATTTTATCAAAGTAATTGTTGAACTGAAATACAATTAAGAAGTATATTAATTTTGTTGTTGTTTAGTTGTTTAGTCATGTCCGACTCTTTGTGACCCCATAATTATTAAGCTCTAACTTAAAATGATGTAGGTTTTATGTTATTTGTTTTGTTAAGTTGTGGGCAAACATAGCAGATGACACAGCGATTCTTCAAACAGCTCTTCTTTATTCAGATGTCAGAACAGAACTAGGCTGAGGAGCTCAGTCAGCCTGCTTATATAGAGCTCCAGAACAATGCAACTGTTGCCATTTTCTAAAACTATCCAATCACTGAACATCACTTTTCGATCCTTCATTTGCATACAAACTATCCAATCACTGAACGTCACTTTTCAATCCTTCATTTGCATAACTATCTACAGTACCCCCCTGCTAGCCCAGGGTGAGAACTTCAGTACATAACACCCCTCCCCACCGAGATAAGGCGTTAGTTACAATCGTAATGGTTTCCTTATATACAGCACTACACGTAATGGTTCAATTAGGCACAAAAGCATATCGGTTACATTTCACATACTTAGACCAACAGTGATACATGTCCAACAACATAGTCCTTTAAATAAGTTGGGCGCTTGGAAACTCTGCCAGACCGCCGGGGACTGGTAGCCAAGTCCGGGGGGCCACACAATTCTTGCTGAGGCTGTGGTGCGACCCTAGGTGGTGTTGAAACCAAATCCCCTGGATCCGCTGCTGTGGGTGGAGCCTCCGCAAGTGGAGTGGTCTGAGCCTGTGGTAAGTCTGGCAGACCCTCTGAAGTGGCTTGGTTCGGCTCCACGCTGGCAGTTTGCGAGGGAGGTATAGGTGGAGCCTTGCCATCTGTAAGTGTCTCTTCCGGAGCCACGAGCGCAGTTGGGGGCACCACGGTAGTGTCCAAGTCCCCAACCCTGCGCCTAAGCTGGTCTATGTGCCGGCACCGCAAGCGTCCGTCTTCGAGTGCCACCTGGGACGAGCAAGGTCCAGTGACTCCCAGTACTGTGGCTGGCACCCAAGGAATGTCCCCCACATAGTTCTGGGCAAAGACCTGGTTTCCTGGAACAAATGACCGTGGCGCATTGGCACAGCCTGGGGGTTCGGCCACGGCAAAGTCCAGGTGCAGCCGGTCGAGCGGTGACCTGAGGCGGCAGCCCATAAGCAGTTCAGCAGGACTCCGCCCTGTGGCCGCATGAGGGGTGATGTGTTGCATGAACAAGTATTTGGTGACCCGCTCGTGCCAGTCTCGCCGGTCCAGGCGCGCCAGTGCCTCTTTTGCCGAGCGCACCATTCTCTCCGCTTGCCCATTGCTGGATGGATGAAATGGTGCCGTTAGGGCATGGCGGATACCCAGTCTCAAAAGTGCCTGACATGAACTGCGGTCCGTTGTCGGAGATAAGGACATCAGGACACCCATGCGTCACAAACAGGCCTCGCAGCACCCGGATGACGGCCTTGGTAGTGGTGGAGGGCATCAGGGCCACCTCCAGCCATTTGGAATAGGCGTCCACAACTACCATAAAGGTCCGGCCGTGAAAGGGGCCAGCCAGATCGATGTGCACCCTCGACCAGGGTGTCTTTGGCGTCTCCTTGGCACGCTTGACAGGCAGACACCCAGGCAGTGATGGCATCGTCCATGTTAGGCCACCAGACGTAACACCAAGCCAACGCCTTCATTTTGACGATTCCCGGGTGGCCAACGTGCAGAGCCTCCAGGATGCGTTGACGGAGTCTTTGGGGAATCACAACGCACTCTCCCCACAGCAGACATCCGCGATGAGCCGAGAGTTCATGTTGTCTGGTTGTGAACGGTTGGAAATCCGATGCAAAAGGCCCTTGTGGCCACCCCCTCCACACCCAGTTGAGCACACGGCTGATGGTGCGATCCTGGGCAGATGCGGAGGCCACAGTGGCAGCCGATACAGGCGCTGCCGGAAGATCCTCAATCAGGAGGAGCAATGAAGCTGGAGCCGGGTCTTCCACAAATGCTGGAAGAGGGCAACGGCTGAGGGCTTCGGCATGGCCCATTGATTTCCCCGGGCAATGGACAAGCCGGTAGTGGTAGGCAGCCAGGAAAACAGTCCATCGCAGCATGCGCGGCGAGAGGACTGGTGGAGTTGGACGATCACCGGCGAGGAGGCCCAGGAGCGGCTTGTGGTCAGTGATGAGGTCAAAAGTCCTGCCATAGAGATATTCATGGAACCTCTTCACTCCAGCCACAAGTGCCAGTGCCTCCTTGTCGAGCTGGCTGTAATTGCGTTCAGTCTGAGATAGCGTCCTGGAAAAGTAGGCGAGCGGTGCTTCTCTTCCGTCTGGAAAACAGTGACTAAGGACAGCGCCGATGCCAAAAGGTGAGGCGTTGCAGGCAAGGACCAGCGGCCTGGCTTCACTGTACTGTACCAGCACACTGTCCGATGAAAGGAGAGCGTCTTTGTGCTGAGGAGTCGGTGAAGAGGCTCAGCCACCGTGGCTTTGTGGGGCAGGAACATGTTATAAAAGTTCAGCAGCCCGAGGAACGCCTGCAACTCTGTCTTGTTCTTTGGGATGGGGGCCTGCTCGATAGCGCGGATCTTGGATGTGGTCAGGTGAAGGCCGGAGGCGTCGATAAGATAGTCCAGGAACTCCACCTGTGGAACAGCGATCTGGCACTTCTCCCTCTTTACCTTGAGCCCGGCCTCTTGGAACCTGGTCAGCACGGCACGGAGGCGCTCGAACAGCTGCTGGTGTGAGTCTGCAGACACCAAGACATCATCAAAATACGGTACCACGCCCGGAAGCCCTTGCAGGAGACGCTCCATAAGGCTTTGGAAGATGCCAGGAGCCACACTCACCCCGAACTACAACCGGCGGCAACGGAATGCCCCTCGGTGGGTGACGATCATCTGGGCTTCAGCAGTGGCATCATCGACGGGCAGTTGTTGATAGGCTTGGCAAGGTCCAGCTTAGCGAAGATCTTACCCTCACCCAGGGAATGCAGCAGGTGTTGGACAACAGGAACCGTATAAGCGTGCTGCTGAAGTGCCTTGTTGATCGTGCACTTGTAGTCAGCGCAGATTCTCAGCGACCCGTCTGGCTTGACAGGCGTGACGATGGGGGTTTCCCACTTGGCGTGGTCAACTGGCTCCAAAACTCCTTGGGCGATCAGCTTGTCCAGTTGTTTGTCCACCTTAGCCTTGAGAGCAAAGGGAACCCGGCGTGGCTTTAGCTTGATGGGGGCGACTTGTGGATCAAGGCTAAAGGAGATGGGCATACCTGTATATGGCCCCAAAGTGCCGTCAAAAACCTCGGCAAAGTCTTTGACCAGACCCTCAGTCTCTGCGTTAAAGATGCAGTTGATGCCGGTGACTTCCAGGCCGAGGGCATCAAACCAGTCTAGCCCTAGAAGGCTTGGCCGCTGACCTTCGACCACCACCAGTCGGAGCAGGCCTGAAAAATCCTTGAAGGTGATCCGGAACCGGCCAACGCCTACCACGGGAATGTCGTTTCCCTGGTAGTCTCTCAGGTGTATGCGGTGAGAGTCGAGTTGCCTTTTGGACACTCTGGGTACCAGTCTTTTGATGGTGCTCCAAGACACGATGGACAGGGCAGACCCGGTGCCGATCTCCATGTCACATGGAGCTCCTTCAATGAGCACGTGACGTTCAGCTTGCGTCGCGTAGGCGAGTCGGTTTGGCTAATCGTGGTTCCAGACGCGCAGCGGCAGTTGGTGAGAGCGAAACAGCTTTCCTTGGCAGATTGGAGTGAAGACTTGGACTTGCGAGTCGGTGAAGGGGGGGGTGTCAGACGGAGCCGATCGGCAGACCTTAGCGATGTGGCCCCTTCTGAAACACGTCCAACAGATGGCGTCTCTGAATCGACACTTGGCACGGGAATGGTTGCCTCCACAGCCGGCGCATTCCGGTTGGCCCTTGGACTTCTGTTGGAACTTCCTGCGCTCCCGCTTTGTCTGGTGCACATCATCGTCTTCACTGGAGAATGCCTCATCACTGCTGGCCTCTTCGTGATGCACTGGAACGGGCTCCCTAGCAAGACGCGGGCTGTTGGCCTTGCAGATCTCCTGGGCGTTCAGCAGCTTCCTAGGCCACAGCCTCCTCAATGGCTTTCTGCAGCGTGAGGTCTGGCTTGGCAAAGAGACGCCGTTGCAGATGGATGTCCCGGACCCCGCAGACGATTCGATCCATCAGGGCATCGTCTAAGTCTCGGAACTCGCAGTGCATTGCAGCCTGTCGCAGGGCGGTGGTGTAGTTGTTGATTGACTCCCACTCTGCCTGGTTCCGGTGGTAAAACGCATGGTGGGCAGCAATCTTGGACGGCTTTGGTGCGTAGTGGTTGCGGAGCTTCTCTTGGATCGTGTCCCACGGTGTTGCCTGGACTGCTTCAGGCACAACCAATCCTCGGGCGGTCTCAAACACCTCAGGCCCACAGAGGCTGAGGAATAGGCCCCGCTTCCGCTCCTTTGATACTTCTGTCAGCTCGTTGGCTTGGAGGTAGCAGTCGAACCGAGCGAGGTAGGAGTCCCATGATTCAGAGGCTGGCGCAAACGGCGGTAGAGGCACAAGTGAAGCCATGATTCCGATGCCAGCGAAAAGGGCAATGGATGCAACACCGTGCTCTAGCCAGAACAGTCAGCTCTGAATTGGTTCTTTATCTTATATTTTGGAAATGTACATCCAGTTGTTTCAAAAAAAAATTGGGCCCCCCAAGAGAGTGGGACCCTAAGCTATAGCTTGTTTAGCTTATAGTAAATCCGGCACTGCTGGTGAGGGGTGGGGCTTAGCAGGGAGGGGAGGGGTTGCCTTGTGGGCCAGAAAGAGAGGGCTATTTTTTAAGTCAGCATTTCCAGACATGTGGAATCATAGAATTGTCAAGTTTCAAGGGGTCCTGAGGATCAAGTCCAACCTCCTGCAATGCAGGAATATGCAGTTGTGTGAATGCTGACATGTATTTAAATCTGGCTTTTACCTTTAAAAAAAACCACTGTTTTAAATAGTCATTTTAATTGCTTTTTTTGCTGATAATTTTGTTGTTTTATTCTTTTTGTAAACCACTTTGGGGTTTTATTACAATCAAGCGGTGTATAAATCTTGTGAAGTAAATAAATTAAATACAGTGGTACCTCAGGTTAAGTACTTAATTCGTTCCGGAGGTCCGTTCTTAACCTGAAACTGTTCTTAACCTGAAGCACCACTTTAGCTAATGGGGCCTCCTGCTGCCGCCGTGCCGCAGGAGCCCGATTTCTGTTCTCATCCTGAAGCAAAGTTCTTACCTGAGGTAATATTTCTGGGTTAGCGGAGTCTGTAACCTGAAGCGTATGTAACCCGAGGTACCACTGTAATAAAAATAATAAAAATGCTTCCTACAACATAGGAGGTAAATCTACCCCCCTCTTTCTCTGCTGGCCCTGGGAATGTGCATTGCTGCATGGTGCCGCTTGCTGCATGGTGGCAACAGGACACTTATGCGTGCTTCTTATATACCCATCAAACTATCTTTCTTCTTTTCAGGGTTCTGTTGAATTCAGTACAGGTAACTGAAAGTAAGCGGGAATAGGATTCATAGCCCCAATCCATCAATGACTCCGGCTGGGGAATCCTTAAAACCAAGGGCTACTGCTGAAGCTGTCCTGCCATTCTTTCCTGGGGGGGGGGGGAGAGAGAGAGAGAGAGAACACAATGTTCAAAGAGAAAACCTTGAAAAGAAGTAAATGGTAAAGCCAGACTTGAAAGGGAAGTGCAAGAGGAAACAAGGAGCTGGCCGGGAGCCTCGTTCCAATAGAAGAGTCTAACAAACAGCTCTCCAGTTTGTTCCTCTTTCCCGGTTGTTTTCCTAAGCAGTTTTTGGGCTCTGGAAGACTGCTTTGTAAAACAACCTAGGGTCGAGGCAAATGGTATACACAGTGCTCCTCATTCCTGAGTGCCGTCACAGGACTTGTTGAAGTGGCCCAGCAATCCACTGGTTGCATAATTGAAGCTTTTAAAAAAAAGTGCATGCATTTTTATGCTCGGTCCGAGGTATACACTCTATAATTGTAATGATTGTTAACCACAAGTGCATAAGAAACCTTTTCTACTTACATGAAACTATTGTGCTTCATCCAATTTTAGGTTGTTGATAACACACTGCATTCCAGTGTTTTCTGTGTTTCACCGGTCATTCCCCCCCCCCTCCGGCCTGGTTTATGGAGATTTCTCCCTCATTAAAAATGCAATTACAGCACCAGTCTGTTCAGTCTGGACATACAATGCACTATTGGGTCGCTGTGTCTTTAATTAAAAGCTTCCTTCTTTTGGCTTCTGTCCTAGAATTACTTCTTGTTCAATATGGCATCGGGCAAGCTGGGGAACTGACTCTTTAATTGTCCCTTCATTATTCAGTTCCTTTTTTCCACTGTAGGGAGGGGAAGGGGGCTTTAATCCCTGGTGTTGTCTTCTCAATTAATAAGCCTATTAGCTTGTGTTTTCTGAAGTTTAGCTTACTCAGAAAATGATTGGGTTGGAGGAACATGTTCACTCCTCCAGATACTTTTAAAATAAATATCCTTTTGCACTGAGCATTCTTAGGTGAACCATCAACAAATGAGAATGGAGAAGGGAACTTATATATTCAGTTACCTTATTTCCTCTATTGAACGACTTCTGTTCTTGGGCCATCTGGCTGCAGAAGCACCTGTGAGATTAATAACATACCAGCTCTGCCATGTGTACAGTCACTGTTAGCTTAGTAGTTGAGTCTAATTTGATGCCAACTGTGTCTGGGCAAGATGTTAAGAGAGTCATCTGGCTGAATAGGTAGGAGGTCTTTGTTATTTACAATTGGATTCAGGCAGTGAGGAAACTGACAGGACACCGTGACCTGCGCACAGCAGTGTGCCCCATGGCACTCCCATGTGGAAGGGTGAAGTATGCCCTTAAAGGGTATCTTTGTGTACACACACATGTACACAGTACAGCTGCATGTACAAG